AGAGCTCCTTAGCCATGACATTAGGGGCGAGTAATTCAATGTTTAACCAAACATAGCAGGCTAATTTTTAAGCTGATAATTTTGTATGGCCCACGAAAGATGTTATTAATTTTGGCAGAAAAAGGGTTCCCCAATCCTGTTATACAGGGTTGCTGTGAATCAGAAATGACTCAACGGCACTTAACAACATAGTGTAGCTTTCTGAGGTCCCTTGAAAGATACTTTGGAGTTTCAAGGCTCGGCTTTCACCTTAGATTCTTCACATCAAACCAAGTATTATCATCTCTTCCCAACTGCAGAGTCCTAATTTATTAGTCAAGATATACTTACTGATAGAATGGTTGAATGATCAATAAATAAGATTGTAGGATTGCATTCCCTGCCTCATCATCTACATTTGGCACTTCATATTAGGGATGAGACAGTGGGGCACAGGATAAAGTCTTTTTGCCTTCATTATTCCTCCAACCCAACATACTTCTCCCTCCTCCTCATCAGACTAACACTTGCATGGGCTTCGACTTCTGGTTGAAAGGTTACATCCTAGGAGATTTTCCTTTCCAGCAAGGTTAAGATCCCCTCTTATATGCATTCATGTCACCCTAAACATCACAACACTTATCACATCTTAATTATATACCAATGTATTAAGAACCTCAAAATCCAGGACAAGACTGCTCTTCTGCTCTCGTCTGATAGTCAGAGTTCTGAGACTGTTCATCCACTGCTCATATGGTCACCCTGAACCCTATTACCTACCAGTCCTCCAAAGCCCTAAAGCAAAAATCTTTCTATAATAAAGTCACAGGGAACCTGAAACTTCTGTTGTGATAAAAGAATATCAAATAAAACTTGTCAGACTTTAGAAAAAAAAAAAATCTTTCTAGCTCATCCAAGTTGAAACTAATTTGGATAAGTTTGTCTACAAATAGGCTTGGAAAAGAGATTTTTTTTTTTTTTCCACAAACTTTCTGAAGCAGTCTCATATAACTAGGACTTCACTGCTCAGAGCTGAGTCAGTGAGGACAAATTTGCAATCTACACCTCTCAGCTATTCAAACTTGGTAACTGGAGTAGTGAGAGGATCCACGAATATGCACTCCGAAAGCTCTCCTGATGATGCTGGTGACCCACAGAAACACTTCCAATGATCCCTACCTTTAGGTAGTCACTCCCCTGCACCGTCAACAGGCCCCAGTGACTTGCTTCTCACAGGGTAAAAGTGAGGGGATGTAACGCCTATGATGCAGTTACAAAACTGTGACTTCTATCTTGCTGGAATTCTCTCTGGCTCTTGCTGTGATGGAGAGAGCCACCTAGCCATGAGCAAGTCAGGAAAGAAATGAGGCCTTCAATCCAACCAACTATGAGGTGGAGACTCCTGCTGACAATCACTCAGTCAGCTTGGAAGTAAATCCTTCCCCATTTGAACCTTAGCCTTAGCTGATTATGGCTTTAGCCAACACCTTGATTGTAGCCCTAGCTGTGTCTGGTCTCCCGACCCACAAAAACTGTGAGATAATAAAATGTGTTTTAAGCAAGTAAAAGGGCGTTCCAAAGTTTGTGGAAAAATGGAATTGAAAGATAATGTTTTAGGATAATTTCTTATGTAATCAATACTCTGTTATATGGCTGTTGTTCACCCTAAGCCTCCAACCTATCCCTTGAAACTCCCTTCTGTCTATCCATATTAAGAGATTCACCTAAATACGGGATTTCGAACCCATCTATAACAGAATTTCATAATGACTTACACATTGTATTTGCTCTTCTTGTGCTTAAATATGTACACCAGTCCAATTACCATTTTTTAGCTTCAGTTACTTTAACGTTTTAAGTGTCATCTATTCATGAGCATGGAATCCCGGTGTGGCACTGTGGGATAATGCACTGGACCGCAAGGTCACTTGGAACTGCAAGGTCAGCAGTTCAAATCTACCAGATTCTCCTAGGAAACCCTATACAAGGTCGCTATGAGCTCGAACCCACTCAAAGGCACTTAACAATTCATGTGCATGAATTATGAACTTCACAGAAGCAAGTTATACTTATGGTCAAACCCTAAGGTCAACTAAGATTGCTCTACAGTGGGGACCAGCCTGCATGTGAGTGTACAGGTGGGTGACTGAGTTCTTGGTAGAGAATAGTCTGGTGCCCTGAGCTTGATTAAACACTGTTGTTAAGTCAGCTTCAAGTCTAAGCGACCCGAAAAGGGTGTCCAAGAAGTGACTGGTGGTACTGAAATGCTCACCTTGTGGTTGGTTCAATGCTTATCCTATAGTGCCACACCAGGGCTCCTGATTATACTTGTTGTTAAGTGCCATTGAGTCAGTTCCAACTCACAGTGACCCTGTTTAGGGTTTTCAAGGAATGGCTGGTCGGTTTGAACCGCGTACCTTGAGGTAAGCAGTCCTGTGCTTATCCTACAGTGCCACATTCTCAAATTCCTAAATATTGAACTAAATGCCATGGTATGAAACTGAGCCCTCACTACTTCCTAATTATCTGCTTCCTCTTACCCACACCTTTGTAATTAAGAGCCCCCTCTCCGTAAATCAAAGAGATAGCTTACACTTACATGTCCCTGGGGGTAGAAATGTTCCCCTCCTCTTCAGGTGTGAAACCAAGCTGTCCCAACCTAGCCCACACCGTGATTTAGAGCCCTTCACTGAAGGATGGAATTAGAAACGCCTCAAAATTATCAAGGCGCCCTGGCGACACAGGGTTACTATGAGCTAGAAATGTCTCGAAACCCAATATAGAGTCACCAAGTCAGAATCGACTTGATGGTAGTGGGTTTGGGAAGTTATAAAGGAGCCCTAGTGCAGCAGCAGGTTAAACACTGGGCTGCTAACCTCAAGGTCGATGATTCACACCCACCAGCTGCTTTGTGGGAGAAAGAGGAGGCTCTCTGCTCCCAAAAAACTTAGTCTCAGAAACCCTCAAGGGCAGTTCTACTCTGTCCAACAGGGTTACTAGGAGTTGGGATCAACCTGATGGCAGTGAGTTTGGGTTTAGGGGAAGTTAATAGGACCACTATCTGTGACCAGAGATTTCTAGGTTTAAAAGGAAAACTGGGGCATGGGTAGGGACAGGCTCAAAGCACTGGAAATTAGCAACTTCTACACACTGGAGGTTGTGGAAGGAAGAAGGGGTTTATTTCAAAGATAGAAACTGAGAATCAAGACACAACAGGCCCAATAAGCATTCTAGGTCAAAGCTATGATGAGAAGCAAAGAATAAGGCTCAGTGTATTAGTCCCATTAAATGTTGACCCTTCAAATGTGTCCTCTAAGACAAAAGTCAAGAGCCTCCGCCCCTTGCTCACTTGTTATTTCCTTGACTGATACCTTTAGGACCAGTGAAGAGTGGCTACTCTTAATCTCCAACTTGGGAGCTCTAGCATAGCTCTGGAGAGCAGCCCATCTACAGCCAGACCTGTAGGAGGCAACTGCTTCACTAGAAACAGAAGAAACACTAGAGCTTTCCTGGTGCACAGCAATATGCTGGGCCCAGGAGCCCCTCCTCCCAGTACACTGCTTGAGAAACTATGCCTTAGACAAAGGGCAAGAGAATGACTGCAGCTTTCTGTTTCAGGTTAAGACAGTTCTGTAGGGTTTGATGTGAAAACCTGTATTTATCACCAACTCTTTCCCTTACAGTTCTGTAAGGTAGAAGGAAACAAGCAAAACTAAAGTTCCTTGAGAGTAAGGATTGGTTGGTTATGTGCTGCGGAATAGGTTCTGACTCTTAGGTCCCCCTGTATAAAAGTTTTCCGAGGCTGTAAATCTTTATGGGAGCAGAAAGCTTCATCTTTCTCCCACAGAACCGCTGGTAGTTTCGAACTGCTGACCTTGAGATTAGCAGCCAGACTTGTAACTACTATGCTACCAGAGCTCCTTGAGAGTAGGGATCGTGACTACTATTTTGCACAATATTTAGGACTTTATCACATGTTGATATTGGTGTGTGGCGCTGTGGGTTAATGTGCTGGACTACAAAGTTGATTTGAACTGCAAGGTTGGCAGTTCAATCTTACCAGCCACTCCTCGGAAAGCCTATAAAGGGTCATTATGGGTCAGAAGCGACTCAACAGCACTTAGCAACAACAGATCACATGCTGGTACTCAGTAAATATCCAACCCGAATGGACAAATGAATGGATGGATGAATGAATGATATACTGAGTAACTTGCCCAAAGTAACAGCCCAGAGCTAGGCCACTTGGCTCCTAAGCCAGGACTCAGCACACAATATCTGGTCTCTTCCTTTTCCATGATTTTGCTTTAGTGTAAACTGGAGATGACCCTTCTTCCCATCCACAAATACCACACAAAGAAGATACCCAATTCAGGGCACATTTGTAGATAGATTTCTCATAGATTTATTTGTGTCATGTTATATATAGATATATGTATATATACTTTTTATTTTCAATACAATCTATAGCCCCTTCTCCACACCAAACTCACAGAAAGAAATATAAATCCTTCCAGGATTGTGATGAGGCTTTCTAAGATGCCAGGGCCAAGAAAGAGCCATCTTTCAAGAAAGAGCTATGCTTCTTGGGCTCTGGGACATGAAAGCAGCAGCACTCCCAGGGCCCAAGGGGAAGAGAGAGGAAAGCAAACAATTGTAGTGTGACAGGATTCTAGGCTGAAAGTGTCCAGTGATTCCTTGAAAGGCAGACTGACTCCCAGAATTCTCAAAATGAGAACAAAGGTGAGAACCCTATGGCTCTTCAGATGCTGCTCAAATTGGCCAGGGGTAGGGAGCAGGAATTGCGAATCAGGCATGCAAGTTTAGGGGCGGTAGGAGAAGAACACCTGTGGGTTATGCTGACGAAAGGCAGCCCCAGTCAGGGCTACCAGCTACTCAGTGACAGATAGGGATGGATGCTGAGCTCTTCGAGAGAGGAGAAGGGATGGCAAGGAGGTGGTAAAGGGCATAGAAACGCCTAAGAAAGTCACATAAAGCAAAAAATACCAACAAAAACATGATGCCTTTTCCCTAAAGAGATGTGATCTATGCTTGGAAGTAGGAAGAGAAGAAGGGAGGTGAATGGTCATGAATTTAGGATTATCAGCTGGCCAGGGGCACAGGATAGCTCTCTGAGAACTCCTAAGGAGCAGGCAGACAGTTGGGACCCCACATCCCCAGGAAAGAAACAACAGTCCCTTCAGTTCGACTTGGACCAAATCTTGGCGCTCCCTCGGAGCCTGGTAAAGGGAAGAGAGAAAGAGGATGCAGGGAATCCCCTAAGCCTGATGGCCTCCCCACTCCTAGCCCCATGCAAATGACTACAGGAAGCAAGGGTAACTAGGTCCCTGAGGTAAAAGCGAGGCACCCAGAAGCAAGACGTTCTTATCAACATTGGCTCACCCCTTGCCCTTTGAGGCTTTCTTGCTGGGCTGGCGCTGGTTGGTGCCAGTAGCTGGTTCCCTCAGCTCTGTTAGGTGTTGCTCAGGGTCTTGAGATGTGGCTGCGGCTGCGGCTGCAGTTGTAACTTTAATGGTTTTCTTAAGGTTGGCAACCTAGCAGAAGAACGGAACAAGCAATAGCATGGAAAATTTCTGAACCTAGCAACCCATGCCCACTTGTCTCTCCGCTGCAACTCCTATCCAGATCCCTCCCACAGGACAACAGGCCCGGGCTAGAAGAGCTTTGCATCCTGCTCTCTGCCTGCTCACCTCACTCTCAATCTGCTGCTTTAGGCCCAGCTGCTGCTCCTTGTGCTGGTTGGCACGGCTCACTTGCTCCTCAATGCCTGACAACACAACCTCACAGCCCACACACCTGCGGGGATTAGGAGAGACAAGAAGTGCCAGTAGAAGTGGGCTGTGACCAAAGACTCATAGAAAACAGACTCAAAAAGAACCCTAGGTTGTGGCATCCAAGCCCTTGCCTGAGTTAGAAACCCTCACCAGGGCACCTGGAAACCACCTGCCAACAACAACCCCAGGAGCCAGTTGGACATTCAGGTAGAATCCGAGAGGTAAGGAAGTGCCTGGAGTGACATGCAAGATGGAAGTAAAAACTGAATGGGAAAAGAGATGCTAAAGAAAAAAAAAGAGCAGATGTATTCATGAATAAAGCCATGTGGAAACAGAAAGGAGAGAGGCCCAAGATTCCTAAGTAGAGTGATGATTCCATGTCAATGGTGCAAATTCAACCTAGGCTGGGTGATCAACCTCCCATCAGGATCCTCTCAAGGGGACCACTCTGCTTTTACCAGTTACTTTATTAAGGACACTCCTCCTGCCTCTCTTCCCTCTGAAGCCTCTGGAGGAAGGGGTTCATTTACCTTCTTCCCATAAGCAAACAACATGAGCAGCCAAAATGTGGAAGCCAGGATTGGGGTGCCACCTCTTCCGCCCAGCCCAGCCCTTTCTGAAGGACCTCTTTCCTTCTTGGGTAAAAAGCAAAGGGGCAGCATAAGGAGAGAGGTCTCACCACTCCTGCAGAGTTCGGACAATGGCATTTAAGTCCTGCCGCTGGATGTCCCGCCCAATGCTGTAGTCAACCTCCAGTCGCTGATTTCGCTGGTCCAGGGAGCCGCGAAGCACATCAGCATACACAGCCTCAATCACCAAGTCTTCCAACTGCCGTACATTACGCAGGGCAAGGGCCTCCAGCAACACTGCATATGGGATGCACTAGAAACCGGGAGGTCAGGTCAGGGTTCCTGAGGTTCCACGGCAAAGACAGTCCCCTTTCTTCCTATCTTCCTGCCTGGGCCTATCTCCCTGCCACTCCTTATTCTGAAATTATTTCCTATAAAAGGTTGCATCTCAGGCAATATAAATAGAAGCATCCACCCTGCCCCACTCAAAAATCACATCACGAGGACAATTGAAAAAAAATGAAACACAAGAAGTATGCACCCCTGCCATTCCCACCTCCCAGGCCACAGAAGAAGGAGAAAGTAACAGCTGCTGAGGTGTCATCCCTTCAGCCACAGTTCAGTAAACCACACAGCCCCTGGACATAAGGGGAGAATGGGTTAATAGGAGAGGTCTGGAGTTACTGTTCACCATTTACAGTCTACCTAACTCCACAGAAGCATCCCATTGGAGGCTGGTTTTAGGAAAATCATGTAAATGAAGGGACAAAAAATCAAGTAACAAGTAGGAGACTGCAAACTGACAAGGAAGAAAAGACGAACAAAAATCGAGCCTAAGAGGGATACAGAAATACCTCTACATTATATACTCCTCATTCTAAACAACAGAAACCTTGCACTTCATCTGAAGAGAGAGCCCTGTTCCTAGCTCTGAGGCTTTGTTCTTAAGGAACTTTACATTGTAGGAAATGGGTAATTGGGAACAACACAGTGAACACCCTACTTGCTATTTGGATCCCAAACACAAATGATATTTTGCTTAGGACTTAAGTTGATTGAAAAATAAAACAGAAAACTAGGAGAATACCATTTAGCCTATAAGGCTGTAAATAAGGGAGTTAAGATACAGACCTCAAAGGAAGGGCAGCAAGCAACAGCTGGATCAAAGGCTATCCCAGTGCAAACTCCGTCCATGGGCTGTTGCGGAGGATCAGAGAGAAGAATGTGCTAGACCTCTTTGGCTCAGGACTGGGAGAACTGTCACTCACCTTGACTTTGGCAGCCAGGGTGACAACTGATAGGTGTCGAAGTTTATTCTTTTGGGCCTCTGTGAGTGGGGGAAGATTCCGGGCTTCAGCTAGGGAAAAACAACAAAGTACAGGGAATCCTGATTTCAGTTTGTGGAAAGCCCTAACCTCCATCCCCTACATTTTAAAAAAGTTTTCTATCTAGGTCTTTACCCTGACTCTATACAACTAGGGGATCCAACCAATTGGGGTATTCCAGGAATTTCTTCCAAGTTCCTCCAGAAATTGCCCTTCTCCCATCTCCACTACTCCATAGCTCCAACCCATCCAACTGGTTACCTAGGTAGTCGGCATATGTCCCATAAGCAAACACCGTGAGCAGCCGAAATGTGGAAGCAAAGTCACTCTCAGCCAGCTGGAAGAATACGAGGGAAGAGAAGAGATGACAGGAAGCACCTCCCTAACCTTTCAGCATTACCATTTTAAATTCCATTTTCTGGTCTCCTTTCTCCCCTCTAATACCAGCTCTTCCACTCACCAAAAGGACTCTGTGCTCTTCTGACCACAGTTCCCAGAGCAAGGGCTCATTTCCACTTCCAGAACTTTGTTTATGCTATTTCCCCCATTCCACAATGCCCTCTTCTCCATTGGTCTTCCAACTCCTACTCTAAATTTAGGGATAAAACTATTGAGAGTATCTACTATCTGAGGTACACCAGATATTGCAAACTGGGTTGTTTGGACCTCAGAATGTACTTAATATTTCTGACTGTGAGCATCTTTCAATAGTCAGCTACACTCCCCAGTTCACCAAAGACTCCTGCCTCAGCCTCACTCACCTCTGCCAACTGCATGGCCTAGGCAGGCATCTGAATTTGCAGCCTCTGCTTGAGAACCACCTCACCGGGATGCTTACATCACCCTGTTCAGCCCACCCAGACCAACTCTCCTATACTCACTGTTCACTCATTCCAGTACTTTATCAATCAATTTCCATCTAAGGCTCTCACTCAACAATACCTTTCTTGTCAATAAGATTATAGATCTGGTCTCTGGTATTACACTCAGAATCTAGCAGAACTATCCAGGTGGCAATTAGATCTCACAATAAATACTTGCTAAATGAATAACAGACATTTATATCCATTCATCCCATCTCTTCAACTGAAATGTAGAGTCAGCACTGTGTCTTGTACTTTTCTGATGTTCTCAGATGACTACCAAAGTGTTAAACAGGCACTCAACAATTACTTCTTCCACTGCAGAAGATAGCAGAGAAAGAAGAGAACAGTTCTCTCTGTACCACAGAGCGATTCAAAAAGGCTAAATCCATGGACTTGATCATAGGCCTTCAAAAACTTGACTCTGTTGGTCCATTGTTACAGAATCTCAAAACTTGGCTAGTGTCATATATCTTGGCACACTAAATCTTTTACACTCTTAACTCTGCCACTTCTATGTGAACAGTTCTCTCTGCTATGTTCCTAGCTGTCTGTCATGTATTTGGGATAAAAGACATCTTCTAGTTTGAAGAAGTATCATTTGGTGGAAAGGAAGGAAAACAAGTCATGCTAATTTAATATATTGACTCCTCCCATTTGTACCAGGCTTTATACTTTCCCATAAATCTCACCTGATTCTCATAAATAACAGTATTGTTGTTAAGTGCTGCTGGGTTGGTTTCAACTCATAGCTACCCTGTATAGAGTTCCCAAGAGTGGCTGGTGGGCAAACTTGCAGCCCAGTGCTTTATCCTACAGTACCACACCAGGACTCCACAATAACAGTAAGGAAGGCAATATCATCCCCATTTTCAAAACAGAAAACTGAGGCCCTACAATAAAAGTGACTTGATCAAAGTGATAAGATTAAGAGATACCACATTTCTGTAGGCAGGCTAGAATTCAGTTCTATTTTGAATCTCATGCTCTTTTTTTTTTGCTTAAAAGTGAAAAATTACAGAGTCTTCATCTGTAAAGAGCAATTTAGAAGTTTACTTGCTTACTTCTTTTGCAAACTGCTAGTCAATTATATTCTTAACTCAACTGAGTGGTTATAGGGTTGCCAAAAGAACCTTAAAAGCTTTTTTGTGAGCTATTCAGGCCATGAACCCACCTCTCTAACGTTGGGCATATCCAGCAGTTCCCCAAACACGTAGACACCAGGGGCCTCTAAGACCTGGTGGATGAGCGTAGCCAGCGCTGCCCCCTTGGCTGACTTGGCCAGAAGCAGAAACTGCTCCTGGTTCTGCCCTGTCACTTTCACCTCCCCACTCATGGCTGTACAGAGCTGGGGGCAGCTGGGCTCCGGATCTCTGGAGCTGCAAGAAAATAGGATGTGAAGCTGGAGATCTCTGAATGCTAGAAGAATGGAAGCCAAGGGGTAGGGTATGAATTGCACAAACACTGACTGGCTTCTACAATAAGAAATCAATGATGAAGTGATTAGAACTGGGAACTAGGAATCCGAAAGTTGATCATTTCAATGGATGCACAAAAGATCTAGGAATGCCACACCTACCTTCTCCCCTGACCCCAGGCCTAACCCCAAGCCCTACCACGTGCATCCCATTGGACCCCTGGCAAACGATAGAGGGGGAAGATGTGTCACATAGTATCAACCCCAGCAACGAAGTACTATCCGTTTTCCCCTCGTGCCCTACACGTGCCCCTTCAAACACGTGACATCACCCCACGCGCCTTACGCGTGGCTCCGCCCCTCCTTAAAGAGACCGCCCAGAGACCGTAGGCTCCAGCCAACTGCCCCGTCGTACCCTCGGTTAGAGTCTGTGGGCCTCTACCTGGAATCTTCGTTTTCCAGCGCACCAGGCGGGGCCGCGGCTCCGTCACCTCCGGCAGCTGTTTTGAGCTTTTCCTGCCACCTCCAACCAAGATCGCTCTAGCCGCCAAACTCTATGGCCGGCTTCCGATCGTACTTCCGCTTTTACTATGTCAGTTTCTGACGGGACCTGCCGGGTACTGTCTTCCGAAGCTCCAGGGAGGGACACAGATATCCTACTCTCTGATTGGTTGCAGCAAGAAGCATGACGGGTTTTTTTTTTTTTTTTTTCCCCCGCCATCTTCTCGGTTTCAATAAAACTTTATCGGTGGAAGGGTGCTCAATGCTAAATGTATACGGAACCGTAACCTCTCAACCTTTTTCTGGTGTGTGTAAACTTTAAGCTGTCGGATAGCTGGAGTCCGGGGCTGCCATGAGTACGTGGAGCGCGAGGGAAGTTGTAGGAGAGAGGGCGAAGGAAAAAAAAGCAGGGGAGAGGAAAGAGGCAGGGGGACAATGAAGGTAAGCGGCAGAAATCACTTGAGTAGTTCAACCACTTTTTTTGTGGGCCGGGAAAACTAGGAAAGGGAAAGGAAATAATAATAGCTAACATGTTACTATATGAGTCGGAACCAACTGGATGGTATTTAACAATAGTAACAGCAACAAAACAGGTATTTAGCACTTTTTTTTTTCTTCCGAGTTTCTTACAACTGTACTGCCGTCTCAACCTGACTCCAGGAGCCCCTCTGCTCAGAAATTTGTACTTGTAGAGTGATGCTTTCCATACATTAACTTTTTTAATTCCTAGGGACTTTTTTAAGTCTACGTGGAAGAAAGGCGTGTGTTGTTAGTCTCCTTTTACAGATAAGAAAATTGAGGTCCATAAAAATTTAGGGATTTGCCTGAACCCACGTCTTTTAAAATCCCGAATTGTCTTTCCACTTCACCTTGATACCTTAGAAAACACAAGCAAGTTAAATTTCTATAGGAGAAGAAGTAGTAATAGTAGTGAGTTGTTGTTGTTCAGTGTCGTCAAGTCGGTTCCTGCCCATAGCGACCCTGTATAGGGTTTCCGAGGAGCGGCTGATGAGCTTGAACCACCAATCTTGCAGTTCAAAGGACTTTGCAGTCTAGCTCATTAGCCCACAGCGCTACACCAGGACTCCCATAGTAGTGAATGTAAGAGATGAAATACAAAATTGAGAATGAATAAAGGGCCTAATAAAATATTCAAAGTCTGAAGGGACCAAATAATTTAATGAGTTCACAAGGTCAGCAATTGGAGTCCAACAGCCGCTCCCTGGGGAAAGATAAGGCTTAATGCTCCCGCAAAACTTTACAGCCTGGAAAACCCTATTCAGGTTCGTGGTGAGTTAGAACAGATTCGATAGCACTTAACAACAACCAGTAAGTGGTGGTGCTGAGATCCAAATACAAGGTTCTCTGATTCTAATAAGAAAAGGAGGAAATGGAAAACCTGAGATACAGCCCTGATTCTACCTTACACTGTTGTTAAGTGCCATCAAGTCCGTTCCGATTCATAGCAACCCTGTACAGGGTTTCTGAAGAACAGCTGGTGGGTTTGAACTGCTGACATTGGGGTTCATAGTCCAGTGCTGATCCTACAGCACCACACCAGGAGTCCCTTAAAGCAAACCAGGCCATCTTTGTGGTATCTCCTGTACTATATCTATACAGTGAAAGATTATAGGAAAGAATTTCTAGGGCCTATTTTGATTCTGATGATTTATGGTTTTGTAAACGGACAATGGAAAAGAGAGAACAATTAGTAGGAAAACAGGAGAATGTGGAGAAAGAAATGAGAGGGGATGGATTAAAGGATAAAGAAAACCAAACCCACTGCCTTCCAGTCCATTCCAAGTCATAGTGACCCTATATTGGGTTTTTGAGACTGTAAATCTTTATGGGAGCAGAAAGCTTCATCGTTTCCTGCAGAGTGGCTGGTGGGTATCAACCACAAACCTGGTGGTTAATAGACCAGCGCCTAACACATAGCACCACCAGGGCCCTAAAGAATAAAGAAGTGCGAGGAAAAAGTGTAGAGGTGAGAAAGAAAGACAAAGGAATAGAAATGGAAAAAAGTGAGAAGAAACATTAAGATCTCCAAGGGGATTATGGGTGGGAGTTTAGTAAATTTATACAAAGCCCAGAATGTATTCATTTGTTACTAAGTGACAGTTATGTACAAGGCCATGTGTCAGGTACTTTGTTTTTAATTCCAACGGTAGAGAACAAGATGCACTGAATTAAAGCTAGAAAAGCTAACTGATTTCTAAGGAGTCACACACATAATAAAATATTCATTGTTGATTCAAAAAGTATATATATGTTCTTGTTAAATGCCATCAGTGATTCCAACCCATAGTGACCCTGTGTAGGGTTTCCAAGGAGGAGCTGGTAAGCTTGAACCACCAACCTTGCAGTTCAAACGACTTTGCAGTCTGCCACATTTGCCCACAGTGCCACACCAGGATTCCTTGAGCACCTCTTACTTGCAGACATTGTTGAAGCTACTGAGGACAGGCAAAATGCCTGCCCTCTTGATATTTATATTCTTTTAGTGGGACATAGACCATAAATAGGTTAGGAGGAAATAAATATCATGAGGAAAAATAATGAGGGATGGGAAATGCAGAAGAGGTTTGATGTTTTTATATAAAATACCAAGGAAAGGTATCTTTGATATGGAGATACTGAAGCAGAGACCTGAAAAATGTGGGAGCAAGTCATAGATTCTGTGGGGAAAGTGTTCCAGGCAGATTACAAGTGGAATGGTCCTTGGGTTGGAATATACTTGATTTGGTTGAGGAAAGAAGTAGGAGATGGAGTGTGAGAGAGAGCAGAGTGGCCAGATAGGTGGTTTTGTGGGCCACTAAATAGACTTTGGCACTTACTCTGAGTGAGATGGGCAGCCATTGGAAGCTTTGAGTGATGGAGTGACATAATTGGGCCCATGTGTTTAAAATACTAAGATGGATTCATGGACCAAGGTGGTAGCACTGGAGGAGGGGAGAAGTGCTTGGATTTTTTCTTTTATTATAAAAAATGTATGTAACTCAACATTTGCCAATTTAACATTTTTCAAGTAAACAATTTAGTGACATGAGTTACATTAAACTTGCTATGCAACCATCACTCTGACTTGATCCATGCCAAATTTCCTATTACCATAAAAAGAAGTTCACTACTTCCCAAACAATAGTTCCCTCCCCTACCCTCTCACTCCTGGTAACCACTAAAAACTTTGACCTCTACACACATTGCCTATTGGATTTAAAATAAAGGTAGAGTGAACTGAATTTGCAGATAGAGTAGCTATGAGGAGTGATAAGAAAAGAATAAAAAAAAGATTGATGTCATACAAGCAAGTTGCACCAGACTTTCAAAGTACAGATTATTATAATTTCATATAAATAAACTTTTCCTTAGGAAAAGAATATTCCTCAACTCATTCTACAGGACTAGAATTACTTTGGTAACAAAGCCAGAAAAAGACAGTACTAGAAATAAAATTACAGGTCTCTCTCACTCATAAACAGAGATCCCAAAATCTTCAATAAAGCATTAGCAAAGCAAATCCAGCATATTGCAAAAAAAGTAGAGCACCAACACTAACTTGAATTTATTCCAAGATTTTAAATGTTGTTTAGTATTATAAAGTACATTCATTTTATTTACCATATTAATAGTGTAAAGAAATAAACAATGTAATCTCAAATGCAGGAAAAGTATGTAATAAAATCAACATGCATTTGTGAAAAAATATTTAGAAAACTAGAAGGAACTTCCTTAATCAGGTAAAAGAAAACTCATCACCACGTCTATTCAATACTATATTGTAATGGAAATCCTAGCCAGAGAAATGACAAGAAAAATAAAAGATAAAATGAATATAAAGGAAACAAAAGTCTTACTATTAACAGATAATGTAACAATAAAATAGAAAATGCAAAATAACCCACAAATTAATAGAATTGAGTTTAACACGATTGAAAAACATTTTCAATCAATATATAAAGATCCTATTTCTATATGTGAACAACAATTAGAAAATGAATAATTTTTATAGTTCACTTATAATTGTATCACTATCAAATATCAAGATATAAATATAATTAACTATGTATAAGACCTTTACATAGAAAATGATAAATTATTGTGAGACTGAGAAGACCTAAAATAAATTAAAATATAGATAATATTAATAGATCAGAAGACTTAACACCATGAGGGAAGTCAATTCTCTACAAAGTGAATTATGGATTCAGTACAATCCCACTCAAAATCCCAACAGATTTTTTTGTGGGTGTGTGTAATTAATAAATTGATTCTAAAATTTACATGGCCATAAGGCATCTTGAAAAAGTTGGTAAGGGGGAAGACTTGCTTTACTAGGTAGGAAGACATAACCATAATAATTGTGATTGTATAGTATTGGCAAAAATATAGATAATTTATCATGAAACATAAAGCCTACAAACAGATTTACACATAAATAGATACCTGGTTATGCAGAAATGGAAGGAGAGACAGAACATACTTTTAAATCAGTATAATGATAATGTAACTGTATGGTGGTGGTGGTTGTGTGCCCTGGACTCACTTCCGCCTCATAGCGACCTTGTATAGAGTTTCCTAGGAGCTGCTGGTGATTTTGAACCAATGACCTTGCAGTTCAAACCGATCTTGCAGTTCAAACAAACCTTGCAGTCCAGTGAATTATCCTGCAGCACCACACCAGGAATTAATTCCTACTATATTACAGCCTAAACATAAAAGGCAAATTAAAGATTTTTTAGAAGATAATATAGAATGTATTCATGAATTCATGTAGGGAAATAATCCCTCCCCCACTATATATATGGGTCGGAATCAACTTGATGGCACTTAACAACAACATATTGTTGTTGTTGTTGTCAAGTGCCATCGAGTCAGAACCGACTCATAGCGACCCCATGCACAGCAGAACGAAACAGTGTCCGATCCTGGGCCAACCTCACTACC